CCGGGATGACAACCCAGTAGTTCGGCTAGTGTGTCCCCCGCCAGTGGACCTGGTCACTTGGTTCTCCGATCTCAGGCCCCGGTTCGAATTCAGCCCTCCTGTAGTACTGTTGAAGATCATTGCTACCTCCAAATTCAGGACTTGCCAAATAGGTTTTCAGTTATGCCGGTTCCTCGAATTTATTGTGCCAAAGCTCCCATTTCTAAATAGTGTGACCAAAGTTACAGATTAAGTTCTAGATCCAACCGATAAGCATAGCCGTCAACCGAACACAGGCCTATTTTTCAAATATCGTCATCAGTGGGATTTGAACTCTAGACCTGCACTTGGAGAGGGTGATGACTAGACGACCACTACACTAAGTCGCCACACCTCTTTGTATAATTTTTATGTTTATTTAGCTTGTTATAAATTTTTAAAAAGTGTTTACAATAATATGCTAGGGCACTATATTTATATTTATACTGATTTTGTATAACAGGTGATTAGATCAGTAAAATAATAAACTATGATAAAATACTAAAACATAATTATATTTTTGATCATAGAATAGAAAATACTTTTAATAAAGTCAGTTTTATACTTTTTGTTATAAATATTCATTATTGGCATATGTATAATATTAGTATCAATCTTTTTTTTTATTATTAAAAATTTTTAACAAATAAATATTAAAAAGTTCAATAATAATTTTTTTAATATTATTACTATTGACAAGCTTTATAACAAATATAGAAGTTGTAAACTACATAGAGCTGATAATAGCTGCTCAAGTACTGACTGAGATCATTTTAACCCAATATAGCAGTTAGCAAATTACAGCCTAAAATATTATATGAATAGCTAAAATTATAGCATATCTGTTTGATCGCTATATGTCATGGTGATAACCAACACCCCTTGTGTTAATAGTGCTAGGGTTAGATATGATTACGGGTTACCCAATTGGAACTGGGTAACATCAAGACGTGATCATTGATGTATGAATTTAATTTATAGTCTATTTGCATAATGTGTATAACCGAATAATTAAATACTCAGATTTATAATTTCTAATAAAAGAAAAAATTGATTTCTTTGGAATCAAAGAACGTTAGTTTGCTTATCAAATAAGCTTCTTAGTGACAACATTTCCATTGCTTAGTTAATATATGTTTTTAAAAAGAAACAGTAATTATAGTTACTGAAGTGTATGTGCCTGGCAAATCATCCAATGCAAAGTGAGTGCTTGATATTAGGTTAAACCAACCTAAAGCCCTGTAGTTAAGAATCTCTATAACAAGGAAGAACCTAGGCAAGATAAAGAACTCTTGTAGATAACTCATAATGTGCAGCACAAGCAGAACCTGACTTGTGCTAAATAAGCAAAAAAAAAAAAAATCTGAATATAATCTAAAAGTAAATGAAGAAAATAGAAACTGAAGAACGATTGGTATCATTAGTTGAAAGTATAATAAAGACAGTAGCTAAAATTATAAAAAGCTTGAAGATAGTGCAAACAAAACAAAAACGTTTTAGGCTACGCTTATGTTATGTATATTGATGTCCAGGACATTTGGCTTGATCATGTCCATTGCAACTACAATCTATGAATTTGAAAAAACAAAAAGATTAGTAAAAAGAATGATTACAAAGAAACAAAAAAGGATACAAGGCTGGATAATAAAGTCCAAGTTGTAAAGATCTTTAGTATAATGAAGGCCTATAGTAGTGATGTTGAAAAAGATAAATGCAAAGCATTGATTTGCCATCAAAGATCTGAAGAGATAGGTAGTATTGAAAGCATGTTCAAAAATAATTGTTGTAAGCATAATGAAATTGGAGTTGAAGTAAATGAACATGAAATATTCATTCATCATTAAAAATTCTCTAACATAGGCAGTTGTGAAGAAATCAGTAGTAGTGAAATGGAAAAATATAAGGCATTCAGTTATTACTAAAAATCTGCTAAAGATGATAATCTAAAAGCACAAAACAACTTTGAATTGTACTATCAATATGGAATAGGCGTAGATAAAAATAAAAGAGCAACATTTAGTGGAACTTAAAATCTGATGAAAATGTAATTGCAGTTGATATAATTAAGAACAGTTACAACAAAAGCACTGTTGAATTTAAGAGCGATGACTTGATGAAGAGTAAAAGGACAATAAATAGTATAATGAAGATGAAATGTTATATTGAATGTCCCATGTTGTTGTCAAATGCAAGGCAAAGAATAAACATTACAAGCATTAAAAACAAGTAGTTAAAAGGTTGAGTTGATGAAATCCAGAATCAAGATGTGATCCAAGAGCTGATAGTGCAGAATAATGTTGAAAACATGAAGTTGGGAATTTCAAATAGTCAAAAGCTTAATAATAGCAGAAATTATAGCATGGTTAGCATCAGTCAAGATATATGGAATTTGTTGAGTTGTGTTAGAAAAATAGAATTTTATAAATGTCTGTATCTAGACTATATTGTTAGGACTGATTTTACTGTTATGTATCTGCTGACCCTGATGATGTACAACTGGACTTACATATCTAATACTTGATTTGTATGTTGCATAGTAGTACAAAAGTGCCCTTTATCTTTTAATTTTTTGTATTGTATTTAGTAGCTAAAGCAGTATGATTTTAATATGTTTATTTAGTTTTGTTTACGTATTTTTTTTTTAAAACCAAGCTAATTAAAGCTAGTATACTATTTTATTGTAACTGTTAAAAAATTTTTATGAAATTTTTATTGCTTATTTGCAAGGCTAAAGAATGTAAATTTAAGCTTGTAGATTTAAGCTTTAAAGACAAAATGAAGAACTATATTAAAATAATTATTTAACAAAACTTTATGCTATAGTAATATAGACTTTGTTTTAACTAATAAAAATACTAAAGGGTTATATTTTTAATTTAGGAATAATGTCCAAGGTTTTGATTCACACCAGGTTATATGTCACACTCTCTGACTTTTTACTTTCTCAATATCTGAGATAATCATAAAAGCACGGTCTAAATTGTTAATAATGGCTTCTACATGCTGAAAATTATTTGAATTCAATTCCTTATTAACATGGTTAACTAAACGCTACAATGCTGCTACTTTTGATTCTATATTTTGACACTTTTCAGTAATATTTTCTTCATTTTCATTTATAAGACTTTGATTAAAGAAATTAATTTTATTATGCATTCTAAAAGTTTCTATATTTTCAGATATATTCTGCAATCCTTTTCCATTCCAAACTAAAAAAGGATAGTTGGTTTGTTGTTTAAAATTTGAATATATCAATCGAATGCCTTGAGGTCCTGATTTTTCTGATGCTTTATGAATTAGATACTTGTATAGGAGGAAGCGGCTTCGAAGGAATAATGGACAACTGCAAATCTAATATTCCAAATCAATAAAATATTAACTTTCTGCGGCATTAACTGATTTGGCAAAAAGGTTTCTCCACTCTTTTTTAAATTCTTCAAACCATGATGGCATTATTCTGCCAGTTAATAATTGTTGGGGATGATTAGCTTGGTCAGGTATAACACATGTACAAATAATCCATATTAGGTAGTCAAGTTGTGGACAGTTACATTGGTGAAGATAACAGTGTTTTAGGACTCTCCAATGCGCCTCTATCATTATGTTGGTTTTGCCAAGTAGTATAGTCATCCTTGTAGAACGTGCCCACAAACACTATCGTGTAGGCTTATACCAGAAAGACCAAAGATAAGTCCACAACAATACTAGATTATTTGCAACACAAAATTTGTATATTTTAAAAACTGATTTTGTCTTTATTTCTTTTGGAGAAAGAAATTGACCATTATTAGTAGGTATTTTAGAATGCATATTGAAATAGTTTTTAACTATTTCAATAACAGTTCCACGAAGAGCAGGTGAACAAATTATATAGTATTCATGATCTGTTCACTGCAAATCAGGTATAAAAGAAGAATTTACAAAAGTAAATTCTTTTACAACTTTTTCATAACTATAATTTAATTGTTCAATTTTTTTATGACTTCTTAATTTTTCTTTAAGTGCTTTGTCAATGTGCTATTGACAAAGCTATATATCACTTGTAGGCTACACTTTTTTTGCAGCATTTATCTTGGTGAAGTCTTTATCTGTGTAAAAATAGGTTGGGTTTAGACCTTTATCGCGAAGAGAACAAAAAACCCTGTTAGTGCATCAGTTTATAACCCTTTCTGATTTTCATTTTTTAGTACTTTCGTTGTATCTAAAATTAAATATGCCAAGGGAAAACTAGCACCTTCAATGTTACCAATGAGGCCATAAAGTTTAAAATTTCCTTTAAAAGTCTTATAGGTGGCATCACAGTATATTTCTAAATAATTTGATTGGGTAAGTAGTTTGGTTGTAAAGCCAATAGCTGTTGTATTATCTGTTTCAATCTGATAGCATAACGCACATGTATTTTCATATTGCTGTTCAAAAAACATACGTGCTAAAACAATGTGATTTTCATTACTACTATAGAACTGTTGTATATAATGTGACCACCAGTAATGAATTTGCTTAAACGTAATATAAGATAAGTCAAAATTTTTACAAAGATATTTTTGTAATTCCACAGGATTCAAGTCTAAATTTTTACTAATTTCCTGCTTTATTTCAGATGGCAATGTAACATTAATGGGTCTTTCATGAAGAAATTTATAGTTTAAAACTATTTTTACTTCTGCTGCAGGAATATTAATTTTAATTGATATTTTGCTATTACAATTATAACAGAAAATTCTATTACGACTTGAATCCTTGTATTTACATTCAAGTTCAAAACTTTGAGAGCATGCGAAGTAAGTATTTCCAACGCTGGAATGGTGAACCGAGAGATTTGGTGCGGTTGTAGCTCTATTAGCGAAGATAATTATTAAGGTAAAGTTTATAGATTTAGAATTTGATTCAATTAGATATCTAAAAAAACTTCCAGCGCTTATAGATTAAGGCATGGTTAAAATTTTATAATTTTATATAATGAACATGTTTATTACATATGCCTAGTTGTAGTTATTCCCTTCTTCTATTTCGTCAATAATTAATTTAGCCATAATTCGAACATTTGCATCAATATCGCTAATAGTGTCCTCATCAAGTTAAACACAGAAAGTAAGCGAAAGTTCAGCATGATCATTAAGGTTATCAATTGCATTTGCAATATAATTACTAACTTCTTGGAGGGAAATTATTTCAATAAACATTTGTTCAGGGTTAGAATCATCAAGTAATTTATTTTTTTTGGCATTTCTCTTTTTAGCCCTTGAAATTTTACAACAGTTACAGGTATCATAGTCATTATCCTTGTATATGAATTCTTCAAGGGAAAAATTGCCTGCACAAGTGCTGCAAGTAGGCATTATTCTAAATATGATTTATTATGACGAATTGTGGGTCTTGAAGTTTAATTAAATTGACAGAATTTATTTAGAATAAGTTTTAATATTTATCAATCAGATAAGTAATTTGGTTCAAAATTTTCAGTTTTTTTTTTTGGTAAAATATTGATTACAAAAATTTTAAATAGCTAATGAAGAGAATAGCAACTTATAAATATGTTTTAATTTAGGGTATATTTGACGGTAATTTTAAAATAATCAAGTAGTATAAAACAAATTAACGATTAATTTACTGATTTGAATAAGCATGAAACAATCAATTTGATTGATTTGAATATGCTAAATGTACGTAAAACAAAAAATGATATTTATTTAATTTATTTAAACATGCTTAAAAATAACTGCTCATGATTTGATTGATTTAGAATAATCAAGATATATATTATGTGTTGTACTTCAAATTAAAATTTGCATCAGATTAAATTTAAATAATAAGTTTCATTAGAATTAGAGTGAAATCTTATGTTGGGGTTAGCAGAATTATGATTATTTTAATCTGATGCAAATATTAATTTTGATGCACAACATATATATATTTAATTTAATTGATTATTGGAACATGTATAAATCAAATAATAGGTTATTTGATTATTCATATATCAAAATAGAAGTTTATGTGCACTTTATCATCTGCGTTTTGATTTTGGCATATTTAATTATTTGATATTGAATCAAATCAGTATCGATTTTGTCTCATAATTTGAGTAAAAATCCTTTATTTAAAATTTCATATTCATCCAAATTTATTTGCATGTAAGTTAAATTATTATAATTTAAAGTCTGAAATCAATAAATTAAACACATATATAAATTATCTAAAATCAATAAATTAAACTAAAATAGCCATGCGAAACATTTAAATTTCAAAAAAAAACTAAATATTAAACCGTTTAACTAGTCTGAAATCAAATTTAATATATTAATTTTTCGAAAATACAAATGGTTTAACATTGCTATTTTATGTTATTATTAAAATTATTTGCACTTTCTTAAATTTTTTTTTTTTTTGGTATTAAGGTGAGACCTTGTTCATATCTTTATTGATTAATTTATATAAGTAATTACATATCAACTATATAAAGACTTACATCAGCAAATTATATAAACGTAATCTTACATAAGATATTACGGCTCGTAATATCACGCAAGAATTACGGTCTGGACATAATATTGCGCAATTTATTACGTAATATTACGCAATTTATTACAAAGTATTATGCAATTTATTATGGAGTATTACGTAATTTATTACAGAGTATTATGTGATTTATTTTGAAATATGTTTGAAATATTTCGAAATATCGAAAGAATTTTATTACCGGCGATAGTATCACGTAATGAGTAAATTACTTATAGCATCAAGAAAATTTATTAATGTACTGTACGTATGTATTATTTTATTAATTTGGTAAACAATATATACTATCA